TTACCCACAACCCCTGGCCCACTTTCCTTTTAATGCATCTTCTGAAGATCAGACCTGTGACTGATATCATCTCAGGAGTTTTATTTGGGAAAAGCAGATAATAGTGGGACACAGTTGAAGAAGGCAATCTCAGCTTGTCCCTTTTTAGACCGGGCACCGAGTCAGATGGTTTAAAAATACATTGCCTGTCTGCTTCTTAAATGAAAAAAACCTCTGCAATGTTCAGAGCGTGATGTGGAAGTGTCAGAGCAGCGCAGCGGTTTTAGGACGGCGTTAACGTTCAGCTTAAAAAAGTGAAAGGTTTGCAGTTTTAAGACTGGACACGCTTGCGCTTTCTGCTCCCCTCAGGTTATTAACAGATCCATGTTGCAGAGATCCTCTGTAATCTGGTCACATTACTGGTGACACCGTTAATCCCGGTGCCCGTTCAGCACACCCCACCTCCCCCTTTCTCTGTGTCCTTGAAACTTTCTCAGAGTCCCCTGTTATCCGTCTCTCTTAGACGCTCTTCTTCCAGAGGTCGGACACGGGCAGTTCCCGTCAGAGCCTAATTATCCCCGCCACCGTGAGATAATCGCTTCTGACAGCACAACCCATCACATTAGATCCTCTGCCCTGTCCCTCCACTCTTGACAAACCAGATACACCCCACACTCCGCCTTCCCTGTCTCGCCCTCTGTGTCTCTCTCTTGGCATTTGTAAATCTTTTCCCAGGTCTTCTCATGGGAACCCGCCCCCCACCTCTCAGACTGACTCAGTCATTTGCCAGAACAAGTCTTGTCTGTGTTGTGTATGTCGTGCAGTATTTTATTTATTTTGTATTCATATTTCTGTACATTATATTTTTACATAATGTTTGAATTCCATGACTGAGAGTGTGTGAGTCTCTGGGAACTGATGTTATATGACTTTATTTAATGTGCATTTTACTTCTTTGTTTTTTCCCTGCCAGCAGCACAACTTCTCAGAAAGGTGTTGTGTAGTCACTCATAAATGGAAATGACGCATGTGTGCGTGCGTGTGTGTTTTCTCTGGAGCTGACTTGGGTAATATTTACGATAAGGGCACAAAACACATGCGTTATTATTACGCGCTTGATTTAATGCGCTTCGAGTTCCTGCTGCTTACCGTTAAGAAATGACCGAGTCGGTGTGAGTGAGCACCCGATGGGTTGTCAGTAAACAGTTTAATGAAGAGTTGCTGTAGATATTCGTTGAAATGTTGTTTGATTCTGTCAGGAATTTAAAGGTTTTTCTATTCAAGTGGCGGTCACGTGCAGGTTTGGGCATTTTTGCTGCTTTGGCCAGGTGGAAGAAAAACCATTCAGAGCCTTTAGTGTCAAAAGATTTAAAGCTTTTCGCCGTGTTCCCACAGCTGCCTTTAAGCTTTAGCTCATCTCAGTGAAACATTAATCCCC